CAATACACAATAGAACCGAAGATTTTTTTGTCTGAATTTCTGAGATGAAGAGTTATCATTATTTACACTATCTAGGTTACCAACAGAGAATTCTGAACTGAACCCTTTATTTAATCTACGGGTGTAGAAAGTTCTTGTTCTACTGTTCATGTCTAGGGATATCGTCTTGTTATCGTCTGCTGCTGTCTTTCATATTCTGACTGCTGCTGCGCATGTTTTTTATTACTGCTCCTGCGGTTGAAGACTTGCAGTCATTTTTCTTTTTCTATATTAGGGGCCCTCCAACCTATATTCTATATATTTCTGTGATAGGACTACAAAGTCTGTCTTTAGAATATGCGCTAATTCTTTCATACGTCTAATTCAATATTAGGTTATCCAGATTGATATACACCTAAGGAAGAACGGAGGTTACAACGGCCTAAACGTTGTGATCAGATGCGTACAATAGTTCGAATATAAATAATGCAAATAATAAGTCCTCATCCCAGAAATTATTGAATGGATTCGGACCCGTTGTGATACACGAATGGAGACGGTCGGAAAAACTCCACCAAAAATTGAAACAAATGTCAAACCACTTGACATTCCTGTACAGATGTTGAGACTTAAAGCTAGTTTCACCGGGTTTATCAATTAAGTCATCGGTTAGTTCCAGTAAAGCAGTTAGTGGAAATAATAGGACAGCCCTCGCGAGGGAAGGAATTCTCGACAGCTGCTGACGGAAACATCAGCTGGAACATAAAATATCTGAATAGACCTTAGCAAAATAACTGTCTGCCTGGTAAAACTTAACACGGAAGAGAGCATGACCAAGAATTACCTATACTCTATTCCTTACAGTTGTGGCAGAGAATATAAAGGTGAAACAAGCGGAATATAGTAGAAACGGAGATATTTGTGAAAGAGGTAACGTGAAAAGTTTATCTCTAAACAAAATTTTGCATGAGAAAATATTTAATTGAATTTACTAACAAAATCGGACCTGAATGAAGTTTTATACAGTTTAAAGAAAAGTCCCTGGAAAAATAAATTATATTTACAAAAATGTCGGTACGAATGTAATAGTTCTGAATATAAAAATCTGAAAAATGAAATAAAATCTCGCTGTTTAACATCGTTTTAATTTTATTTTTTCACTTTTAATTTTAAAGTGTTTTAAATACTTTTTAATATTGTATTTAATCAGATATATTTTTTAAAATTGTATTCAATTCTTTCATAATTGTATATCGACTAAAATTTTGCTATTAAAATATAAAGATGTAGAATAATCAAATCGCGATATTTTGACAAATTTATCAAGGATATTTTTGATAGATTTGCAGGTACAATATCCCAGATTATTCCCTCGTCACCTTTTGCTTGTTTTTGTTTTTAATGATTCATTCGAGATATTCTTGGAACGGCGCCTATAAAGTTATTAAAAAGACTATTATTGTTATGCTCACTTCGAGTTTCAATTAAACATTTATAAAAAAAAATATTTTGTTACTTGTGATTAAAGATTAAAAATAATTGAGATTATTTTTTTCATTCTATTTGAGATAATCTATGAAGAAAAATAATTCAAGTTCCGATGGTATAAAAAATGTAATATTATTGAACAGTTAGGAAAAACGAACATGTTTTATGCTAATTACTTAAAACAATAAATCAATGAATATTTTGACCTTCGAACTGTACCAATAGAAAAGGCAACGCTACTGTTAAATTGTATTTTTCATTCTGTGAACCCTTTTTTCTGTGAAAAAATAGCTCTTAAAACGTCGTCAAAGCAATGCCTCAAATGCTAAGAGAAAAGTAAAGTGCTATCTCTCGACGGGAAAAAATCAGATCTACTGAAAAGTGGCATGTCGCTTGTCGGAATGGATCGAAAGGTCAGTAAGAACGAATAGAGCAATCACACAATAAATCAGAAAGAAGTTGAAATTTGTAGAAGTGTTTGCGCTCTCCCTACAACAGCAAAATGTTTTATATGGTCCGTGCTTAAAAAGACTGCGAAAGCATTAAGTGTGTGGCTAGATGACATGTCAAAGAAGCATATTCCAAAATTATACGCCAAAAATACTTAACATCTATGAGAACTGCTGTGAGAACGTTAGGAGAGTGAGGATAATAAGAAATGGTTAACAATATAAAATGCTACACTCTCAAGAGCTTAAGATCACTGGAGAATCGATATTTCCAGAAGAGCTAAAAAAAAAACTCATAACCGATAAAGGCTGCCAACAATGGCTAGTGTTTAGTTATAAAGAAATGTGGTTGTTCTACAAGTTACTCAACGATGCCTACATCTGTGAGTGTCAAACAATACTATGCAAACCAATACATGGAAATATGGCCTTACTCAGATGTTTCGTGGAAACCTAGGAAATCACACGATCTCGTTTCCCAAGCAAACAATCGGAAAGAAGAAAAAGCAAAAGTTGTATGCCTGCATTTTAGCAATACAACATAAAGGCTTGTGTGATGACCCTCTTCTTCCACCAGTATTTAATTCTTGAAGTGGATCAATATCTCGTAAAGAATGGACTGTCATCCATGGACACTTGGTCATTCAATGTTCCCAGGCATCTCTAAACTTTCTGCTTAACAGAAGAGAATTTGGACTTCTCAAACGTCATTTCGTCTGTGCAATATCAAGTAATATTAAGGCGATTTACCTCGGGAGGATTCGTACTGATCTTGATGCTAACACTGACTGCAGCTGCATAGAATTATGGAAGAGTTTCACATATGCAGATGTAACTATGCAAAATTTAAATTCTAGCCAGTCAGTGCCTGTTAGAAACTATCACAAAATGATGAAGTGATTTCAAGGGTTATACCATTATTGGTGCAAAAGTTTGTAATCCCTTGAATGGTGCAAGGTAAGTTTAAGAAGGCTTCTAACATTATCGAGGACGACATCAAAGAATACATGCAAGTTCAAAGAGAAACCTTTACCAACGGAGACATTGAAAATATAATGAAATTCTCTATAGATTAGGATGCAAGTCATTTCGTAGTGGTAGAGCTATTAGTTTGGATACTGGAACAAAATCAGCAGTTTTTAAAAAGCAATTAAGATCTTTCAACTGAGGTATAACAACTTTCTCTTACAATGTTTCTATCTAAATTTTGAAGAATCGACGTGCAATAATGAGAAATTATCATTTCCCAGAGTTGATTCTAAATCGTCATTATCATGTGATTAATATCAGTGAAGAAGATTATATAATGACAATTTTAGAAATGGAAAGACTGAATATTAATTTCCTCTCTCTCTCTCTCTCTCTCTCTCTCTCTCTCTGTGAAACAAAATAGAAAACAAAGATTTTATAAACGACAATCACAAAACCATTTACACAGGTGGGGGAAAGGGAGTCAAACTAATATAAAGAATCATGGCATTTATCAAAATTCTTAGAAAAACTAAAATAGAAGCCGTTTAAAATAAAGATTACAGTTGTATGTGGAAGCACATCAGAAAGTATCGAAGAGGATAATTCTAAATACCAAAGCAAATAAAAAGAATGTATTATAATAATGGAGATTAAAATGTAAATGTAAGAAGGAAGAGAGTGAAATGGTTGTTAAATGATTTGGACCACGTAAAGAAGACAACAAAATAGATTATTGATGCACAACGAATGACCAAAATTAGTTTCTGAATTTGGAAAATCCTAACAGAAGGCATTAACAATCAAACTATTTAACTAACAACAAATGATTTAGAAATGCATTCTTGCACTGTAATACATAGCTGAGCGCTTGCTGTTGCCCTGTCACCTGTTATACATGTGTCAACTAAAGATACAACTACAGACATTAAGGAATTTCAAAGCAATACAACAAATTTCTAGAGAAAATAAAGATGCGTACGTGCGTGCACGTGTGCGTTTCCTAGTGGGAAAGTGCTTTCCGAGTTCAACATACATCTTACCGTCCCTGAGTGGAAAAAGGAAAAGGAAGATAACAAAAAATGTCACTCCCTATTTATAGGCTTAGGGAGAGTCCCCTAGCGGCGTTTTATTTGAAAAGTAAGTGGTGTAACTCTACAAGCCAAATAAAGAGAATTATTGGAAAATATAATTGTTTTTTTGTTTGTTTATTTTTTTTTCGCACCACATTCGACTGACATGGACACTTCAAAGAGAAAATGCTGATATTAATGATGTTGCATTAAATGTAAATTCCTCCAAAGCGCTACCGATATCTTTGTTCCACACAGTAAAAACAATTCGAAAATATCTAAAAAGAAATATCAAAATTCGGAAAGCTTAGAAACTTCAAGAATACAAACTTTAGGATAGTTTGACATTACTATATATACTTGGTCCTTCGAAGAATCAGACTTATTTGATCACTGAAGATTATAAAACGACTAAATAAAAATTGACTTAGTTTTAATATTTTCTGTATCAATGCTCAACAATAATATTGCATCAGTTTTTGTGATTTCTCTTATAAAGAAAGGCGCCGTCTCGTTTAGACAAACGCTGTCTAGCTCTTTCAAGTTGTTACATCTCCGTGTGCGTACTTCTGGGCATCACGTCTGACCACGTATAGAGTAATAAAAAAAAATTCTTTGGTTCAAATATTAATGTACTCTCAACAAACGTCTAAACCCTGATTCTACAATGCACTCTGATGACAGAGATATACTTTCTGAAAGTTAATCAGGAGAGATAAGTTTGTTCATCAATATTAAATATGCTTTGATTGATTCCTTTTCTGCGGCTCATCAACTTTTTACAGGTTATTTAAAGCCAGAAAGCATTTTAGGTTGTATTTTTGTTTTGTTTTTTGGAAATATTAATGCTTTAGTGATACAACTTTTACTAATTAACCAATAGCTGAAGGAGTAGAGGTGAATCGAATGCCGTTCTCAATCTTGTTTGCGCTTAAGTGAATATAACGAACCCAACTGGGAGTGGAACTCAGTTCTCCTATTAAGAATTCCGAGCCATTATCTATTATATATCTCGCACATCCAAGCTTACAGCACTTTTTATTCCCGGTACTGACCAGGCTCAACGATGCTTAACTTCGGTGATCGTACGGGAACCGGTGTTTTAACGTGACATGGCCATGAACACTTAAATATGTCTTATTTCCTTGGGCCACATTGGTCATGCGAGATCATGTGTGAACGGAGGTGTCATACGTATGCGCATCAAGTATCCCAAATGGAATAGAGGTTTCAGGTAGCCTACATTTATTTCAGGATTTAATGCTCATACCATGGTTTTTAAAAACGGTCCTTTAATGTTTCAATGCAGCAATGCAGTACTTTCCATGTTTTCTGCATTTGCACTGTAAAGTAAACGTCAAGGCCATTTTAAAAGGGATTTACAGAGCTACACGTCAAATTTTACCAGAAAAATCAGTAAAAACAAAGTGAAACTGCTGCTTTTTAGGTGTCTGTAGCCCATTTAGCCTACTAAAGCATAGGATTGAATTCAGTGAGCAATCACTAACACATTTCATGCCACTTCACGCCACCACTTTTAAGCCAAGTGGACAGAATCGCCTCCCCCAATTATCCAATTTGTCCAATTTTTCACATTTGATTGCATTTTTTCATTCGTGGGGACACCGGGGGACTGTTATGTCTTTTCATGCCGTTTACGTGTAGCAAAATGCACCTACTCGCTATAATTTTACTACTACGCATCTCTGCCCCAAAAAGTTCTCATCTAAATTCGTGCTACTTAAATGCTTCATCATCTATCAGTAAACGAAATTAACATTGCTTCAAATTTTGTTCATAAGAAGTGTAAAAACGCTTGTATTTTCAACTTTTGATCAATAAAACTACCGCATATCTCCTGACTGCTCGAAATTTTCAAAGAAAAATGAAGGTTGAACATCCTATTTTCTGATTGGCTGACTTTGAGAGACTGTGCTACATCGATGACGGCGTAAATCAAAAAAGCAATGCCTATTTTGGGATAAGGAACTACATATTTATCAGTAAAAATACAATAAAGTTGCCAGATACTATTTTGAAACGTCATCACGCCACTGTGCACTGCTTTGACTAACCCAGCTGAAGGTTAACCAGTCGCGTCAACTGTTCAAGGTTGCTGCGAGCTCATTGACACGGTTGCAAGCGTTTAACCTTGGGCCCATCCAATCATACGCACGAGCAGTTCTCTTACGCACGCGTACGCACGTCACCTTAGTTTGTGCGCTCAAGATCAACCGGACAACTGCCTCTTTATACCATAACTCGCACGCGTGTTCACACTTCTGCGATTACTGTCCCGCACGTGGCTCACTTCATTTGCTTCTTACGAAGCCGGAAGTTGTTGATTACGTATCCAAACTGTTTTTTTTTTTTACTTCTTAGTTATAACTACATCCGTTTCCACGTTTATCGAATTTACTTCTCAAATTACCTACTACCGTTTTAGCTTTAGTTGAATTTTTTAAACTTCACTTCTTTTGTCTTCGATCCCCTTTTGATACAGTTATATACATTTTTGGGATTCCTCTAACCTGCCTACGTTTAGACTACACGTATTTTTTTGCACTCAAAAAAACCTACATACCTTTTATTACGTTTGCCTTTTTAAAATTGGTTAAAATGCCGCGTAAGAGAAGAAATCTTTTTGGACGGCGCACATCTACTGTCTTCGCTACAAGAGCAGCAAGGGCAAGTGAAACCAAAGAGCAAACATCGTTGCGCCTTTCTCAGATGGCCTCACGCTCTGCTGCCCGCATCTCCACGGAAAGTACTGCTGAACGGACTGAAAGGCTGTCATCAGTAGCATCAGTTATGTCATCACGACGCGCTAGACTTTCAACTGAAGAGAGTTTAGTACAGAATTCACAGGACGCAATACGCGTTTCTCGGGCCAGGACTTCCGAGTCCCCAACACAGAAAATCCTTCGGTGTTTAAGGAATGCCAGCGCTACAGCATGTTCCAGAGCTCTAGAAAGCCCTGAACAAACGACTTCGTGTCGTCTTAGGAATGCTAGGGCTACAGCATCTTGCAGGGTTTCGGAACAACCTCAACAAACCGCTATTCGTTGTTTAAGAAATGCCAGCGCTAATGGGTCTGCCAGAGCTTTAGAAAGTCCCGTGAAGACGTTTGGGGAATTCTAGATCTACTGCGTCTGCCAGAGCTTCAGAAAGCTCTGAGGTACGGCGAGCACGGTTCAACAACAATGGCCAAATCGCAAGGACAGACGCTCAGCGTCGCGGGTCTGCATTTAAGTGAACAGTGTTTCGCCCATGGACAGCTTTACGTAGGTTGTTCCCGAGTCGGGAGTAAGGTTAATGTTTACGTTTACTCTCCAACAAACAAACTCTAAAAATATTACCCACGCAAAAGTTCTATAGTCCATGGTCACGTTTAAACGCAATGTACACACCTTTATGTCAGCTGCATCGTAGGTTCCTTCATTTTTGAACCCGGTTTATTTAAAGGTCGTCCACTTGCCATTACTAAGACATTTTATTAAAGGTTGTCTTGCTCACCAGATGCTCCTTTATCACTTAAACCCCACCATAGCTGCATTCGACCACATAACCATATTCAGTTGCAACACAAAACCAATATGTGAGAAGGTGGATTCATTGTCAGAGAAGTTGAGTGTGTCCATGCAATTCAGGCCTCAGCAAAAATAAGTGGGATAATAAAAGAATAGCAGCATGCATAGTTATAATATGCATTCTCTGCCGTACCCCGTTGGTGTGTTTCTCCCCTTACTATAAGGGCTGCTTCAGGTAACGCTACGTGCGCTTCATGCTCGCCTCAACTGGCTATTAAAAACTGCAAAAAAATTTGTGCCATTTACAAGTACTCGCCCCGGCACCTTCCCGTATTTCTGTTATGTGCTTGTGTTTGCGGTAGCGCCGTCTTTGGGGCAAAAGATGCGTCTACCATTCACGCTATTGCGTTTTACTACGGGCTTCATGTAATATCTTCCACTCAGGGATAATAAAACCATCCCATCGGAATACAAAGCCACAACTCACCAAAAACATCCTAAGGTCCGTGTTCGTATTGAACTTGACAACTTTTAATTGGATGTGTCTTAGTAATGGCAAACGCTGATGCTACCATTGCTTTCTTTTAAACCTTACAATTTTTATCTTCCGTTGTGCTGATGAATACCGACAACTTGTGAACATCACGTTTTTTTACGTGGGCGGCAATCAGTTCTACTAGACATCAGCCTTACATGCGTGTACGAAATGAGTATGGCGGTTATGACCTTCCATTCAGATGAAGTTTACTCCCGGGTAATGCCGGCCTTACTGCTAGTTAATGATAGTGTTAAAATTGCCAGTGGTTTTCCTTATAGGAAAAATTCTGCATTCGTTGACCGAACAGTTAGCGTTACTCGGCTGAAATTTCTAAAATCTTTTTATTCAGAGTTTTTCAAGAAATTAGTTTTTATATCCGCTAAATATTATAGCTCTTGTAGAAGTAGTTAACATCTTATATCATTATTTTCTCTTCTACTTACATGTGCTACCTATGTTTTCTGTTTTGCTTTTCAAGCTGTTCAAATGATGTATTTTTGTTATTTGCTAAATCTATCTGTGATTTTGTAGCGCCGGCCTATAGGGTTTGATTTAGAGTCGTCTTCTTTAAGGCTGATTTATTTGTTTAAATGCTGAAATAAATGTAAAATTTATCTGTGTAGATAGATAAATTTTTACAGATTTCATTAGTAGGTTTGCAATAAAATAACGATTCAAATAAAAAGCTATGTATGAAATATCATCGGTTATAGTAAAATCTGATTTTCGGTATCCAAAAGATGTTTAGAATAAGGATTAATTTTCGTTTTTAGTAATCCTTGCCCAAGATTGAACATAAGTTCAATAAGGGATGCGCCCGTTTTGACAAATATATGTTGCATGTATTGAGTAACCAGGTAGGCTATGAGAGAAAAACAAAAAGGGACCACCGATCTGGTATGTCGCAGTTGTCTTTTTTAGTTTTAAAGACATCGTGAAATGTACCAAGCTAATGAAAAACTCGTAAATACGATATCAATGATGTGAAAAGATCTTAACAGAGAACACGTTTTACAAAGGAAAAACAAATGTGATAGAAATGGGGAAAATGGTTTGAAATCTAAAGTAAAAAAAAAAAAAAAAGATAATAAATGAAGTGAAAGTTGGAAATAAAAGAAAGAAAAATCAGATAAACATGTCAATAAAAATTCCTAAAAGGGAAATATTCATGGAAACAAGAAGGGTGTCTTAATGTAGAAACATTAAAATGAAACTTGAACGTTAGAGAAAAAAATGTAGGAAACAGGAATCGAACACGCAAAAATGAATATAAAAAGATTAATCGCAAATTAATGTGAAAAATTGAGTCAAGAAAAAGGAAGGACGACTGGATAGATGGAAGGCAAGGATAATTAAGAGAAATAAATGACAAATCGTAAAAACAATTGAAAGGGAAAATGAACGAAGGCAAAAAGTAATCAATTAAGCGAACAAATTAAGAAAAATAAATCTAGAAATAATAGAAAACTTAAACTGTAAGAAGAATAAAGAGATAAAAATTAAGAAAATCTTGAAAAATCAAAAGAATAGAAGCATAAAAATAAAAAGGGTCGAAAAATAGAAAAAAGGAAAAATTGAAATAAAACCGAGTAAAGGAAAAAAACGTTCTGTGTGTGAATGTGATCAGCAAAGATAGAAAAATATGAATTCATAAATCAATTTCTTGCCTTTGAACGATGGCGTTGAGTTCATTTTCAGTTCAACTGTAAAACTCAATCAGAAATGTAAATAGAACCGCATTTGATTGATTGAAAATATTTTTTAAACTAAATTTTATTTCACAATTTTTCAACACAGAATATGAAGCACATAAAATATACCTGAAATATGAAGAGATGTTTATTGAAAGCTTTAAAACGATTATGAATTATGTTTCACTTCCCATTGCTCTGTGATTGTGATTTTTTTATTTGTTTATAAATTTTAAATTGCAAATTATATATCGCGACAGCTTCATTTTGACTTGAATGGAACTTAATAATGCAATATATGCGTTTGCTGACTCAAATTAATACCGCCATAAATTTGAGATAGAAAGATGTAGGAAAGAA